ACGATTATAAAATAATTTCCTTTTTATAATTTGAACAAGTATCATTTTATTAACATTTTAACCGATTAAAATAAACGAGACGCAAAAAACGAGTTTAAAAAAATAAAATTGAAATTTTGGTAATTGTTTTTGTTTAGATATAATGTGAAAAAAAATATTTTTAGATTTTTTTAAATAAAATAACTAACGATTCTTTTGTAAATACATTCTGCCGCACAAATCAACAAAAAAATAATTTTAATAAGTTTGTCTTGCTACTCCGATGTTGTCACAGTTATGATAAAGATTTTTCTAGTCATTACTAGTGTCTGGGAAAAAAATGGTCGATTATATTTCAGACCTAAAGCTAAAATCGCATTAGAATAGTTGTAAAAACCTAGTGTCTGATCTCTTGCTGTAATGTGAAAACTGCTGAAAGATGCCTCTTCATACAATAGCAAATTTATATGTAAATTATTTTTAGAATTTTTTCTCATTTTTATATTTATAGAAAAAAAAGCAATTTTTTGCGTCTCGTGCATTTTGCCAAAGAAAAAAAATACTATTGGCCGGTTTATGATCATTTAGATCATTTTTGACATATTCTAACCTGTATATAAATACATTTTAATGTTTTTATATTTGTGAAATGCAATACAAACTAGAGCTGCAATAATTTTCGAAGTACTAAATTACTCAGTAATAGGTAATTTCAGTAATTTGATTACCAAGTAGCTAAATTACTCGGTAATCTAATTACTAAATTATTATCAAAACAAAACTTAAAAATCAAACTCTACAATTTTTTTTATATTTTATTTTGAAATGTTATTATTTTGTGTTATTTTTTGTTAAACACATATTAATTCGGCATATTTTTAAAAATATTACCAAAACCCCAAAACAAAAAAACAAAAAATTATTATTGATAAAAATATGATAGCAGTTAAAATACTCATTGTGGATAAAACGGTAAAATTAAACCTTTTCAATAGTCCATATTAAAATTGTGTATTTCTTTCCTTTTAATAAATGTTATTTATTATGATTGTTTAAATCCTTTTATTGAAAATGTTATTACTGAAAACTACCAAAGAGAAATTATAGAATATCAATTAAACGAAAATGATTATTTTAGACTTTGTATATCAAATTAATTTTTTACAATTATTAACTTTTGAATGAAAGCAATGATCATTTTTTTTGCTATCATGTGTATAAGAAAAGTTAAAAATTGATAATTGTTGAAAAGAGATATATTCTCTTTATTTTATTGTGTTACTTTATAAATATTGTTTGATGTCTCATGATTATTATTTAAAAATATAAGCATTTTAATTATTATAACAGAGTTTCTTAATAAAAATGTAACAGTTAATAATGAAATTATTAGACCAATTCATATTATAAAATATTAACAATTTATAAAATAATAGTGTACCCATTAAACTGGAGCATACCTGTCGTAGTGATATCAAAATACAATTCTTATTCTGTTGTGTAATTAAACAATTATAATTAAAAGACGTTTTAAAAATATAAGTAATATTTGATTACATGCAATAATCAATATAAGCTGTACTTTATTTTTTATCGCTGTAGTTATACAATAAAATAAATGGTATTAATTTTAATGTTTATTTGTTTGTTTTTTTAATAATATTATTGTAATTATACAAAAGTTACAAACAAAATCAAAAATTTTAATGTCATTATAATTTATGATTAAATTCAAAGATTGAATTGTCAATAAATATACATGAACACGATTGAATATTTGTTGTTTGTTCATTCAAAATGATATCTTAATAAAATTTTAAAACGAATAATTAAAAACTCTATTTTAATGAGTTGAAAAAATAATATATTATATTGTCAATAGAGTATCAAAAATAAATACAATAATTAATTATAAATATGTTTCAAATTTTATGAGCAAATGTTGTTATATTTCAATAATCGAACAACGTGAAACCAAATTTGATTAATAATATAAAAATTCAATCAAAACACAAAGTTTTTGTTTTGGTTGTAAATTAATAGAGACACAATATTTTAAATCAACAATTTTTTATTAATATTTGTATTTAATAATACCAACAATGTATACAACTATCAAATTGTAATTGTAATACAACATTTACTCAAAAAATATTTAACTAAATGAAATAAAATATTTCGCATTGGTTACTGTTATTTATTATCTTGTCATTTTTTACTGAATAAATATAATTGTCAGGCTGATTTTTGTAAATTATTTTTAATTATAATTAATTTTAAAAGTTGTATTGGAT